GATTACACAAGTGAAGGAAACTAACATTTCTTGATCCTCTACCACATGCCAGGCACTTTTAGAAGTTTGATCTGTGGAAGCAGGTGGTTTCCTTCTACCACCACCGTCGTCATCAAATAGATATAACTAGTATAGTCTGGTAAAATGAGGTGGTATAGAAGTTATAATCTTAGAAGTAGTGTCCTTTCAGTAAGAGAATCTGAAATTGGCGCTTGAGAAATAGGGGCAGTTGTGGAAACTTAAAATTATTTTTCAGCCAGTGAACATAAATCCTGCCAAAATAAAATTAATTTCTTATAGTTAAAATAAAGTTATATTTGTTATATCTGTATGATATTGGGTGGTATTATAGAATATTAGAGCAAACAGTGTCTAAAATACCCTTTAGACTAGCAGTGCAACAGAAATTAATACAAGTTGTATACGCAATTTTAAATTTTCTAGTAGCCACATTAAAAAAGCAAGCACAATTAGGTGAATTAATTTTAATTGTATATTTTATTTAACCCAGTTATCCAAAATATAATTAGGTCAGCTGGTGCTCAATATAAAATTTTAGAGATAGTTTGCATTTTTTATATGAGATCTTCAAAAGTCTAGTGTGTATTTTACACTTACAGCACATCTCCATTTAGATGCTAAATTTTCATTGGAAATGCTTTATCTGTATTTAGAGTCATAAAAATTGTAGTTAAAAATGTAGATTCCAAAAACTTTTATTACAATTTTTCCAGTAAATGAATAAAGTATAAAAACATATTTCTTTAATATTTGCATTTGTAGTGACAGAACTGGCTGATCTTCTTAGAACAGTTGATTTGAATGAAGCAAAAATAGATCAGTTTCAAAACTGCATTTAAGTAAACCCACTAATTCTTGTAACAACTTAGTGTTACCAACATCAGATTCAAAGGGCTATGATATAAACTGAAAATCGACTCTAAATGTGTCCGTATCAACAAAGCGTTCTTCAATTTTTCTTGTAGGTTTTGCAGCCAATTCACTTGATGATATTACAGTTAAAAATCTGCATATTCATGTTGAAAAATGTGTAACATAAAGTATGTTATGAATACTTTAAATTTTTACATAAATTCCTATACTGTACCTGTTTAGCTAAGTCACAGATAAGCTTTTTCTCTCCTTGGGTCTTTAAATCTAGCTCACTCATGTGTACTGCAATATAGACGAAAAAATGTAAATTATGCTATGATGTTTTCTCTTTGAATGTTGAATATTGGCAAGTGTTTCTTTTGTTTCAAGAAAATCTCTAATTAGAGTTAGAAATACAGTAAATCTTTATTAGACTCTCTGTGACTCAAGTAATAAACATTGGCAAAAAAACATGCAGTCATTAAATTCATTATCTTCTATTTCTTTTAGCAGTTCCATAAACTGGTGATGATTCATAGCATTTGCACATATGTACTGAACAATTTTAATAACTGCATCCATGATACAGTCTACCTCAGAGCACAAATATTTTCATTATGTTATCATGCAGTGGAACAAATATAATAAGGGAAATAATTCTAGTAAGTACAGATTTTGATCTCACATATCTTACCCATTGTCTGTCTCAATAGAAAACTTTTGCCTATCTAGCTGGAAGTAACGGATATAAAAGCTTTAAAAATAGCTACAACATGAGCTTGATTATTTCTAAGTTTGCAAATGGACGAAGACATTTCATTGTAAATTTGGAAGTCATCCGAGGCAAAACATACCCAAAGTATTAACTTGCCGGTATCTCCTGTCTTGTAAAACTCATTTACAGCTAAAACTAAAAGTACTTACAATTTTTCAAATGTTGAATTGATTGATCTTTAGTATTGTTAAAAGGTCTTATTTATTTACTGACAGTTGCTTGGTGAGTCAATGGAAGATCTTTCTTTTTGTAAATTATCCTTTTTAATCTTTTCCTCAAATTTTTGAACATAATTACCATAACTGAAATAATATTTTTTTATCTTTCCTTCTGTGATGTTTTTCTTCATCACAGAAGAATTCAAGCCATTTTATAGGTGGCAAAAATTACAAGTTCAGATCCTTCAATAATCATTAAAAAAATGTACATTTCATTCTGATATCTGCATGAATGTTTCATTCGTTGATTGTGACTAGTTTCATTATTTTTGTTGAGAGGCAACTTATTAAATTAATATACATTTGCTGAAAATGACTCGATATTGTTTATTATCGTAAAACCTTTTACATAATTGATTTATTTTACTCTGTTATAACAAATCAAGATTGCCAGTCTTTGTAAAATTTGTGACATAGTTTCTCCATTTAATTCTGCTTCATTAGTGTGCCTTCACTTGAAAGTTAAAGATTTTTCATTCTTAATTTTTAAGCTAGAAACATAATTTGCTATAGTTAAAATAGTATTTCAATTTTACTGCCAATTGTGATTTACATAAGTATCACAGTAACCCAGGCTGTCTGCATCAAGTATTCACATAAACACATTACTGTGCTGCATTGTTGCATAGAAAAGTAGTTTTAACTGAATCCTTCTGTTGACACTAACTAGATTTATGATCTGCTTATGTCCGAGTATGATACTAGGAATGACATGCACCCATCACATGCACTGCAGTACATCTTATGTGATGTAATAAAAGTGAAATATATTTTTGCCAAAACCATAAAGTTATGTTTAATGGAAAAATATTTTATACTGGTTCAGTTAAGTAAAATTTTATATTAATATAAAATAATTTGCTTAACCATCTTCCTGTTATTGGTGTTTATATTATTCAGAATGTTTTTTAGTTTTAAAATAATAGTGTCATGAATAACCTTGTACCTAAATACTGTGTTCCTAAAGAATATTTATGAAAACTGATCATATAAATTGATTCCAATTTTCTTTATATGTGGATAGAAAAAGTCTAGAAGGAAATAAAAAAAACTAACAAAAAATTTATATTAATTACAATTTGGTAAAAAAATTAAAATTCAGGTCCTAAGTTGCATTAGCCATATTAGCACAGCTCTAGAGTCTACAGCAACTTATTCACTTTAATGATAAAAGTTCAGAGAGATGAAACAGCTAGACCTAATTAAGCAAGATTAGTTGGAGCAGAGAAGGCCAAAATTAAGTCTGTATTTCAATATATGAAAACAGTTACTTTAACAAATGTAAAGTAATTTTATATCCCAGGCTGAATCCATGTCACACCAAAAAGAATTACTTTAATAAGAACAAAATCAGTGATTTAATTTAATTTGAAACTGTGACTTTAAACAAAGCAATCACTTTTTGTGTAGATTAGGGGGTTCACTTTTCAATTAGATAGTAGGGACATCCTGTCAACACATGGAGGGTGATCTAAATTTCCCATTAGACTTCATTTCCCAGGTGAACACTAACATTTGGAGTTGATTTTGTTTTGAACGAAGTATTGCTTTATCAGAAATACATGCATAAATATAAGCAAACATTAAAAAAAATGTAAGGAGGAATTAGAGTAACAATGCAATTTCCTTCTTTAGTGAATGTTGAAGGTTTGAGGAGAAACCAAGCGCCTCCAGCCCAAATTTTGACAGAGTGGACTTGACCCTCTTGATGTTTATGCTGACCTGTCTGCATCAAGTATTCACATAAACACATTACTGTGCTGCATTGTTGCATAGAAAAATAGTTTTAACTGAATCCTTCTGTTGACACTAACTAGATTGGAAGCAAAGAATTAAAATTTTCCCTTGTTTAATTCCTTTATGTATCTGTCATAAAACTGATAAAAAAAATTAGTCTCCTGCCATTACTGGTGTTTGATCATAGAGAAACAGTTGAGGATATAAAAGGTGGCTTTTTTTACTTGTGGAAATGTTAGTGTTTGATCCTGGGAAGTTGGAGAATAGATTAGAGACACTTGCTTGACAGCATGGGTAGTTAGTTAATTGGGGGAGGGGAGGGAATGTAAATTATTACATATATAATATTTTAAAGTTTCCAGAAACATTCACTTAAAATTTTACTCAAGAGTAAAAGACACAAGCCATGTTTTTGTGTGTAATGTTTTTTTAGTTGCTTTCTCCCGTTCTTTTTTAAAAGATTGGTTTCAGATATGTAACACATGGTTTTTGGATTCTGCTAGAGATGACCTAATTTTTGCTATTGCTTTGCATTCAAAGTTTTGCTTGCTCAGAATGGCAGTGTTAACTGTCATTTTTCTTTGGTAGTTACAATAAGTGGTTTTATAAAGCTTGTACGTTGTTTTTGCAAAAATTGGCCTTATCCCAGGAAAAAAAATTGAATGCTAATGTACAAGTTAAAGTTATTATGTGTGATTCCTTATAGTATTTGTTCCCTGACTTGCTGAAGTGTGCACATGAACACACGCACACACAGTGTCATTTTTAAAGAAAACCTTAAACTGCTGTCTTCAAAGCAGTTAACAGTTTCCTAAAAGATGTTGCCACTGTTTTGTACTTTTGTTTTCTAATACCTCAGAATGAAAAAATATATTTTTCTCAACCATCCAAATTCAAATTATTTTAATTAACTTGTATAGTAAATGTATAGCTTTATTTTTAGTGTTTTCATTCAACTACCCCTACAGGCTAGTTACCTTTCCCCTACTTTTCATTTAAATCTTTCCTCCCCCCCCATTTCCGCATTAATTTGAGTTGGGAAGTATCACTTTAAAGCTTTATGAATAGAATTGATGCTTGTTATTTCATTTTCCATGTATTATGCACCTCTAAAATGAATGTAATACCTGTAGCAGCTTATTTCATTTTTGAAGGAAGAATTGAGCTTTTGAATAAAAATGTGAAAAGAAGCTAGTGTTCATTGCCTACGTGGCTTTTTTCAAAAGGCTCATAAAAAACATTCCATTGTGGATTCCAAGTCCTCTTTAAACTTACCACCAACAGTAACTGCCTGCAGAGCCATGTGAGCATCTTGGCAGCAGGCAGGCCTTTTAGTGATTTCATTACTGTGGTTTCCTCAAGCTCTTTACACACATTGATGAATATTTTTCTTGCAGTTATCGCTGTGATGATTTTGTGGTTAATGACACCAAGCTGGGACTGGTACAGAAAGTCAGAGAACACTTACAGAACTTGGAAAAGTAAGTAATAGGCTTTAGGGGGAAAAGAGGATGGATTGGGATTGAGGGGTCATTCTGAATTTTTGAGTGGGATTTTTGTTTATTAGTTACTTAACTTCATCATGTTTTTAGTGTGATTGATATGTTAATAAAATAAGCTTTGAGTTTGGATATCTGAAACTGTCCCCATACTTAATGGTCATATTTCAGCATTTATTTCATTTAATATTTGTCATAAACCATATCCAAGGACTCTAAGGCCTGTTTTTTAAGTTATAACCAATCAAATTGTAAACTACACAATTTTATTTTAGGAAGAGGAATTTGAGGGGTGCAGGGAAAGTGCAGTAAACAATATGAAATCATTATACAATTACCTTTGATATTAGAAAATCCTTATCAAATTTATTATGAGGTCTTCTTGTAAGCACTAAAATTTATGCATTCTTTTTAAGGGAAATTAGGTTTAATTATATTGTTGTCTACTTTGCATTTATGTGATAGCACAAGATCCTAGTTTCTTCTTTCCCTGAAATTACAAGAAGCTATGAAATGCTTTGTTATCAAAGAAATTAAAGTACTTATTTGAATAGAATTTTCTTGCTGTAGCCAGTAGGCCATGCAGAGAAAACTCAACCCAAAATTCAGGCAGTTAAACAGAAACACAAATAGCAGTGCCTTTGAAGCTGCTGTGCATGGAAGCACAGCCCTGGAATGACTGCTCACTCAAGTAAAATTTGTGTAAATCATCCTCAATCACCAGGTGCTATCTAATTTATTTGACAGTTGATGTACAAAAGGTATCGTGAGAATATGCCATAAGCAAACTTAAATGTAAAGCCAATAGGATATTTTAAAATTGTATATTGATATGAAATAACCTAGGTGCTTCAAGGGAAACACCACATAGCTTTGGTTAACCAAAATCTGTATATATGTCTCTTTGGCTAAGTAGATTATAATGCTGAAAGGGAAGAAGAATTGATTTTTTTTTTTAAATCTAAAAATAACTAAAATACTTTGGGTTTAAGTACTTTTTGGCTTGTCATTTTTTTTGTGGCTTTTTTCCTTTTCAAAGCACTTTTCTTCCCTTTTAATTTGAACAAAGCAGCCAGAGCCTTATCTAAGATAGATACACAGATCCAGAACATTTAATTTTGTCTGAAACTGTCACAATTAACTATAAAGTAGGAGATTCCTCCAGGAATTTATGTAATATCCCTTTTTGGTGTGGTGATGTCATTGTAAAGGCCTTAGTATGTTGGTTCTTGCTTATAGAAGTAAGTAGGTACCAGAATATTTTTTTCTCTGAGAAAAAACTACTATCTAATCCCAAATAAATTCATCAGAACTCAGTCAAAGGGAAACGAGGACAACATTCAAGAACCTACATGCATTTATGTAGTTATCAAATTTTTTATTTCCATTAACCCACTTTATCAGGTAAAAGATGTTACAGACCACCTTGTCTACATTTCTACTTGGCCCTACTGAAAAATTGACCTTGCGATCCTTTTCCTATGTTGAAAAACGTTATCTAAGTTCATTTTTATGTTTTTCAAACAGGCTTTAAGTTATAATGAAAGCTACAGTTTAAAAACTATGATTACGTGTATGTTTTACTTAACTTTTAGACTTTTCTGCATATTCGCTAGAGCAGCACTGTGCAGTAGAACTTTCTGAAGGGAAGGAGATGTCCTATAATCTGCACTGTCCAACATGGTAGCCACTAGCCGCATATGGCTGTGGAGCACTTGAAAGTGCCCAGCGTGACTGAAGAACTGAATTTTACATTTTATTTAGTTTTAATTTATGTAATATATATGTAGCCACACGTAGTGAGTGGCTATCATATTAGATGGTATGAATCTAGAGGATTCTTCCATTCTGAGACTCAGAGATGGTAAAATTTTAATTACTTCTATTTTAAAAAACTAAATGCTTTATGTAGGTTAAAACTAAAAGTTAACTATTAGGCACTGTCACTAAGTAGTATATATACTCCACTTGTGTTTCAACTTTGCATACAGAATTCGTGACGGAATAACTTAACACTGTAGTTTTACCTTGCAGTCGATGATACATGGAGGGACTTACACACAATTCTGAAGATCTATTTCCTATGAGTAGTTTTAGATTTAGAGCAACTGACTGTTAGTAGATCTGATGCTCCAAAGACATAGTTCATCTGGAAATTCTGAAATACTTTTTTTTTTTTAAATTCAAATACCATTCTGATTATTCATGGTCCAAGAACATTCAAATAATAAACCAAAAAGAAACAGATGTTAAAGATTGGTCTTCAAACATTATAGCCAATGATGCCACGCTTGCCTATGATCTCGCCGACGTAAAACCACATCCACACCTCAGTGGCCACCAAACCATTCAGCAGAGCTTCCTTAACTGTGAGCTGTTTGAAGCTACCAGTTTGAGCACTATTGACTATTTTTTTCAACCTCTGAATAGCTGTTGGGATCTCAGCAGGGGTTGGAGGAATCAGCTCAACCTTGGCATACTGCCAAAATGTGGCCAGTCGAGGTTTAGAGTAAGTCACAGCAGCATTTACCAGCACTGGGGCCTTCTCTGCGAGGTTACGGACAAATTGGGCCATGGTTGCAGTATGGAAGTTCTGTGGCACTACCGGCCAGCTGAATGTCACCCCCTCATCTGGAAATTCTGGAAAGAGAAATAATTTTGTATTTACATTGGATTAGACTAGTATTTTTATTTATTTTTATTATTATTATTTTTTATCCTCACCTGAGGACATGCTCATTAACTTTAAAGAGATGGGAAGGGAGGGAAAAAGAAAGGGAGAGGAACATAGATGTGAGAGAGAAACATTGATTGGTTGCCTTTTGTACATTCCCTGACAGGAGACTAAACCCGCAGCCAAGGCATGTGCCCTGACTGGGAATCGAACCCATACTCTTTCGGTTCACAGGATGATGTTCCAACTAACTGAGCCATACTGTCCAGGACATGGATTAGCCTAGTACTTTTAGAGGATTGGAAAGAATTGGCAAACTTAAAAGTCTGTGTTGTTTAATGATAATTTTACCTCCTTAAGCTTAGTTGTCCTGATATGTAATAATTCAAAGTGATCCTTTGAAGATAAGAATTAGTTTCTGATAAATTTTAAGCAAAATATCTCTTTCATCAAGAAAATATTAAATAATTTTAATTCAGAATTTTTGTACTAAGTAGGATTTGTTTTAGAATATTCTCTGTAGCTTAGCCAGATCAAATTAATTTATATATGCCTATAATTTATCATTTCACAAACTCAGATTATATATAACCTATTATGACAAATAAAACATGATACCTTTATCAAAATTAAGAAAGAAGTAGCACAGTATTTGAGACAGTGGTAAGTCTCAGAATATTCTGTCATGTCAGACCAGGGTTTTCCTTTTGTTATGAGGAATGGGTGTTCTCATTTATGAAGCTTCACCACTGAGTAGGCAGGTGGAATGGGGGTAGGGAGGATTGTCTCACAGGCTTATCTACCTGGCTAATTTTTCTTGGAAGGGCCCATGGTGGTGGCTTCCAGTCACACCATGCTGAAGGAGCAGTGGCGATTTTCAAGGGACATGGGACTCAGTTACTTTGATACTTGTGGGCCAGCATGGGCCTTAGAGGTCATTTCCTAGCCTGTTAGACAGCAGGGCCCCATACCCTAGACACTTAGAACAGCCAAGTTTATTCTAAAACCTGCTGTGTAGTCTGTTTGTATTCATGTCTTTTTGACTGTCTTTCTGTTTGTGTTTTAATAGCTCAGCTTTCACAGCTGACAGGCATAGGAAAAGAAAACTTTTGGAAAATTCATCACTTAACAGCAAGTTATTAAAAGTAAATGTAAGTAAAATTTATTCAAATACAAGAATTGGCTGAGATCTAGTCACTCATTTATTACAACTTAATGTTGCTCCTTATAAACTTTTATAAATGTATGCCTTGGATTTTTAATATTTTACAAAATGTTTGCCACTTGTACTAATGATTCTTTTGTTTTAAATCCTCATCTGAGGATATATATTTATTGATTTTTGAGAGAAAGGAAGGAAAAGAGAGAGACAAAAAGGGAAACATCTATTGGTTGCATGTGTGTGTGTGTGTGTGTCCCCCTCCCTCGCCCTGCTCTCTGGGCCCTGACCAGGGGTCAAATCCACAGCCTTTTGGTGTTTGGGATGATACTCCAACCAACCGATCCACCAAACCGGGGCATAGTAATGATGTGGCTGAATACCCCGGTGAGTCCATCTGCCAGTGCCTTTATTCTTTCAGGATCATTACTGTACTTCTCTGCCTTGGCAAGCACTTATTCTTAATGCCTACTCGTGTACCATATTATGACGTTTCTGTGGGATCCAAAGATCCTTGCTTTCTGTTAAAGGACCCTAAGCGCAAAATCTATGGGTCTGAAGTATTCGTATTTTATTTCTTAGGACTTCTTTGTAATACAACTCTGCCAGGAGAGAATATGCTTTCTCATTTTGGTAACCATCTGTTGTTACTGGATGTATGAGCCATTAATGGATTAGCAAAATTTAAAAATCATGAAATAATAATTTTGCCCTGTATCTGCAATAGCTACCTCTCTGCTCTTATGCTGGCTATGTATAGACACACTCTTAATTAAAGTGTTACTATTTTGTGGAAGAAAGAGATAAAGTGCTCTCTGGCCAACTGACTTATGGGCAGGGATTCTTTGAATTGGATTGGTAGATTCACTTCCAATCCAGTTCAGGGGTAGTATTCAGATGTCATAGTGCATTTGTAGAGCTAATCAGAAAACCAAGCCTTAGTTTAAGGGAAGTTCAGGTAGTTAAAGATTGATATTCCATTGCTATAAAAACATGTATTGGTCATTTATGCACAGCTTAGAATTAAAAGTTTGGGGACAGAAATACTTGGGGTGTATAAGTTCTTTTTTTTTTTTTTTTTTTTTAGTTTGTAGTAGTTTTAATAGAATCTTACAAAGGCATTAAGTCTTAATCTTTATTTCTTTTAAGGATCTTCCTGGTTTTTGCATTATATCCCGCATGGTACTTATAGTGCTGATTTCCTCATATACTTCCATACAGTACTGCCATTTAGAAGAAACTCAGAATCAGAAACAACCTTCTAAACATATCTAGACACTAATACAGGGAATATAAACAGAGTTTGGGTTGGACAAAAAAGGACAAATTCCAAGTTGGCTTGATTCTAGAGTTTCAAATACTATAGGCTTTTGCTTTGCTTTGATGGTTGAAACAGTCAGCCTCCTCTCTGCACTGCTGATGGCCTCTTGTCTCATTTTATAGGGAAGCACCACGGCCATTTGTGCCACAGGCCTTCGGAATTTGGGGAACACGTGTTTTATGAATGCCATCCTTCAGTCACTCAGGTAATGTGATGGTCAGAGCTTACGTATCTGATGTTAGGTCCTAGTGGAGTGGTTCAGGGCAAAGGCCATGGGCGCAGATCCTCTGACTCTAGTCACCTGGCGGGGCCAGGTTACCTCAGTGTTGTTGGGATGGTTGAATAATGTAATTTATTTCCTATTGCTTCTTGAATAGGCTAGAGCAGAGGCCAGCAAACTTTTTTCTGTAAAAGGCCAGATTAAATATTTTTAATCTTTGCATGCCACATACAGTCTCATATATTCTCCCCTCTGTGCACCCACCCATTTTAAACAGTTGTTTAAAATGTAAGAGTTCACTGGCCCAGGGCCAGACATGGTATATGGGCTGTAGTGTTCAGACTCCTGGGCTACAGGGAACCTTGATCAGAAAACTTACTTGAATCATTAGTGAGTCTTAGGTGTGGTCATAAGATCAGATGTTTAGAAGATCCTCAGAATGTAAGACAAGCAGTAAATATAAAAAGACCAAGAAGGCTGACCTGGGTTGTATTGAATAAATTATTTTGAAAGTTGTATACTTTTAGATTTTAATGAGCCATCAAAAAAAGTCAAAATAAATTAACTTCCTAAGGCCACCTTTGCTAATAAGGAGCAGAAGCCGTATTTGGTCTCTCCTGTTAGCCTAACCAGTTAGCTCAAGGAAGAAATTTTAGTTATTACTGAATTCTCCTTGTTACTTTGTGTATCTAAACAATATGTTTGGTTTCATGGTTTGTTTTTATTTGAGGAAACTGTTGACCAACTGGAAGCAAGCACCCTGAGAAGGAAGAAATGGTGACAGCCTGTAGATGGGGCGGGGGGAGGTTGAAGATTGAGGATTTTATGAACAAAGATTCTGCTTTAAGATGACTTTCTACAAAGTCATCTACAATATTTATACTGTTTGCTTGGAATAAACGAGAAAACATTCAAAAAACTTAGTGCAAGAGACTAGGTTGAGTACAATTTAAATGAAAAATTGAAAGATCACATTTTCAAAATCCACATGTACATTTCATAGAACTTTCTTTATAGGCCTAGTACATTAAAAAAGTTTTTTTCCTTTCCTTCCTTTTTAAATAGTAACATTGAACAGTTTTGCTGTTATTTCAAAGAACTGCCCGCCGTGGAGTTAAGGAATGGGAAGACGGCAGGAAGGCGAACATACCACACCAGGAGCCAAGGGGATAACAACGTGTGAGTTCCAAGAATATGTCCTTTCTGGCTTTGAGCTACAAACCAAATTGACTCTTAATCGGTGATTTCCATTGCATATGTGAGTTCATAGGCACATATGTTTTTAAAAACCCCTCTTCTAAAAATTGTGTTTAAGTCTCTAGCTGGTAATCTTAATAATTGTTAGAATTCTTTTATTTGTATTTACCTAAAAGGCAGCATAAAGTTGGCAACTCTACTTACTAAGTCTTTGTGAATTTGGACATTCCAAAATTGACATCTATATTTGAAATACAGTTCTAGGTTTAGACCAGGATGAATATCATTAATCGGTGAATTGATTTGTCTGATAGTGTTAGTTAGGTAAACTTGTCTTGGATGATAAAATTAATTTGTAGTCATCAACACAGTCAATTTTTCATGGATGTGAAGTGGGAAAAAATTGACAAGTGATTATTGAGAACCAATGTGTATTCAGTGTAGACATGCGCTATTTGGGATTTAGAAGATACGCCTTATTGGGATTGTAAGGGGCACATTTTTTCATATCTTACCATCACAGAAATAGAGCTATGACTTACAATCTGCATATGTTTTAATGCAGTGTTTCCCCTGCCTGTCCTTCCTCACACCCACAACCCCCATCCCAACACATCCCCAAAAGCCGTCTTATAATCTGGCACCGTTCTGTCTAGGTGCCTGAGGGAGAGTAGGATAGGACATGTTAGAGCAGTGCACACTGTGTTTAGAGCCAAAACATGGAGGAACTTCAAAGCCTGGCATTGGAGCAGGGATGGAATGACACCACTAGTAGTGGTGTTTTAAGAGTTCACTTCGGTAACAGCATGTAAGAGGGACTGGAAAATACCTGTATTCAGGGTGTTCAGGGAGGCTTCACACTCTATAGTAATTTGTTTGAGGGGGATAGCGGTGAAATGAAGAGGAAAAAATACATGTGCACAAAACTTAAGGGAAGAATGAGTAGTACTTGATTCATTAATGTCATTTAGGGTTTAGTGGCAAACCATAGAAATTGCTTCTGGCTGTCTTAGGCAGAAAAGAAATTCATTGAAGGCTTAATTGGGGCGCCTGCCATTACTGGGTAGAAAATCAGGTCTGATGTCTGAGCATCCAGAACCAAAGCCACAGTCACCCCTCTGATCTTTCCCATGAAGACCTCACTGCTTCTGCCACCCAGTGCAACAGCAGAGCTCCTACCGCTGGCACTGCTGGAGCTGCTGCTGGTGGACGCTCTTAGTGCTGCCCCGGCGCTCCATGTGGTGCCCTGTCCACCACGGAGGGTCCGGCGCTGTTCCAGCTTCTTTGCTTCACTAACACCGGCTTCGAATAAGCAGAACCCAGGCCATGTACCTGAGTCCTGGCTACAGGGCTCAGGGTGGAGGGATGGGCCTTTCCCCCTTCAAAGCGGGAGGAACACTCTGGCTCTCACCAATATCTTTAAGGTGGAGAATTGCTCAAACACAAGATCAGGTGCTAAAAGTAAAAAATAGGCTTTGTATCCCAGGGACCTACTGGATAACAGGGGTCGAGAAAGAGATATTGAGATTCCCTGAGATATCAATTAGGTATCCATGAGTATGGCAGTTGTATCGGCAGATATAGTCATTGAAGTTAAGGAGGTTTATCAGTTCAGCTACATGCATAGATAACTAAAATTAACAGTGACTTAAACATCCATGCAGAAGCTGGAGGTTCTCCATCCAGGACTGTTTCACACAGTCATCAGGCTCCCCCTAGCTCCTTGTTCCACCAGCCCTGGTGTGGGGCTGTCAGCCACAGAGTCCAGGATGGTGCTGGAGTGTGACCATTTCATCCTTATTGCAGCCAGAAAGGAAGAAGGAAGAGGTTAATAAGGACTATTTCTCTTTAAGGAAATTTCTCAGAAGTTGAACACACTCAGAGTTTTTTGTTCTAGGAGTTCATGTTCCAAGAAAATGAATGGAGGTTCTACTCCTATGGAGGAGAGGAGAATGGATATTGGGGGACAGTAGGGCGCAGGTTCAGCACACGCTGAGTTTGAAGTAACGGGAGGACACCCCGTGGAAAATTCCTGTTGGAAGCTGGAGAAACCGGAATAAAAGTAGCCATTAGAGAACGTGGCTTTTAGGTTTGGATTTTTGAGAGCCATTGGCAAAGAGCGGTGTGTTGAAGCTTTGTGGTCAGGTGAAGTCTCTGAGGCACAGACGAGCTGCTGGTCACACGCTGAGGTGTGGGAAATGCTCCTAGTGTGGGGCACGAGGGAGCATGCTGGGGACGAGGAAAGAGGTTCTGTTAATTATGTTTTAAAAATGTATATTCTTAAGTAATTTGGTTTATAACTTAACCGTTGCTCTATTGTACAAGTGTGGCAGTACTTAGGAAAAACCTGGTCAAAAAGCAGGTTTTGTCAGTGATTACCGCTATTTACGTGGGTTTTTGAGATGCTCTTACTTAACCGTCAGACTTAGCTCAGAAGAGACGACCCTTTTTATGTTTTCATATTTTTTTATTATGAATTTTAGACAGTTGGACATTATGCATTGAAATAACAGCCTCTCATTAATGCTGACAGCATCATCCCTTCTTTTTCCAGGTCTTTGGTGGAGGAGTTCAGAAAGACACTCTGCGCTCTATGGCAAGGCAGCCAAGCTGCCTTTAGCCCAGAGTCCTTATTTTACGTTGTTTGGAAGATTATGCCGAATTTTAGGTAAGTATTATTTAATGAAAGATACGTAAAACATTAATATTAGTCTTCACTGAAACAATTTCTAGTGAAGTGGTAGTGTTCTAAATAGTAAAGCCTGGCTTCGTTTTATTTTGTTTTTTAAAGGAGAACAAAAGTTGGATATATTTGACTAGAAAAATGTTTAAATTATAGATGTTAGAAATATCTTTAACAAAGGGCAAGGTATTTTGTTGTGATAAAAACAAAGCCCTTATAATTTAATGTGCTCTAGGGAAAATACTAGACAAAATTTCCTTTATTCTTTCAAAATCTTATAAAGAATAATTAGTCATGCACTATCTTGTTATTTCAGCTAAAACAATCCAAACATAATCAGTAGAATTCCATGGTATTATATTCACTGTTCTGCTCTGGGTTCTGAAGGTCTTAGGACACTGTAGTCACTGTGTTTTCTGTGCTCGCTGTCTAGCCTCATGCTGAGCCGGGGAACAGCCCTGTTGTCAGAGGAGCCTGTCTCCTCCCCTCGGTTAGTCAGCCTTGCAGGGATTTGGGTCATAGCAGATAGGGGGCACTGCAGGTGTTTGACAGCAGCCATGGCCACCTTCTGTTGATTTTACCCTTTGAAGCAAGTCATGGTTCTTACTAGTTATGATTTTTGCACCTTATGTACATCATTCTTCTTCTTCTTTATTTTTTTCCCCCAGCAAAACCAGCATGCTGTAGTAAAACCTGGCATATTATTGCCTAATGGTGGTTTAGATATGTTGCTAATATAGAGAAATGTTCACAATGTAACTTCAGAGCTGCAAGTTGTTGTGATTGACTGTTGTTGCCCCTGATCTTTGATTGGAAGGAAACTTCTTTTGTATATATCATACCATTTAAATCTCCTCCTAGGAGAAACTAATTTTGTAAGGATTTTAGTATTTCTTGACTCTAAGTAGGAAAGATGGAAAGATGGAAAGTAAGAAATGACTGTTAAGTTACTACTAATCAGATTTGGACTTAATATAAAATAACATAATCACCTAATTAGACTCTTAATAGCGACTCAATCTTTGTGTTTCATTGTATATGAATAGTTTCCATTTATTGCCTACTATGTGCCTAGCACTTTAGGTCTTTTATCTGATCTTCATTAAAAAACAGAACAAAGTTCCTCTCAAGGGAGGAAGCATTAGCCCCATTTTAAAGAAGACAAAAATGAGACCGGGGAGCAACTTGTTCAATCTTATACATCTAATAGGTGTTAGGACCAGAATGAGAACCCTGGTGTTTGCAGGGTTCGTTAATGGTAGATCTTTTACCAGTAATTTGTCCACATGCCTGAATGAGGCCCACCAACTTCATACTGTTTTGCTTTGTCCCCGTGATGACTCAGGTCCCTCATTCTTAATTGGGACTTTAGAAACATTGTGAAACTTTTATTCAGTAGAATTCTACTTTTCCTCAAAATCTGCTCACCTCTCTGTCCTTTATATTTTCTGTAGCCCAACTAAGAGCATGACTTAGTTTTTAGCTGCTTAATTTTACATATTCTAATATTCCTACTGATGAAGGGCAAAAACTTTTGGAAAAGGTAACCAGGTTGAGGAATTTGGCATGGTATTTTCAGAGGATTCCTAATACACATGAACTCTTAGATTTCCTTAATAACAGATGAGAATAAGATGCCTTCCCTTAGTCCTGTGATAATTAGGATTGTTCCCCATTTTCATGAATATAGAAACCATCAAAGATATATTTCTTTTCACTCAAACCAAAAGACAAGGTACCCATCAGGGAAGCAGTTCCTGAAGTTTGACCTTTCCAACATACATACAGTAGTTTCTCCTTATCTGTGGTTCATTCTCTGTGGTTTCAGTTATTTGTAGTTAACCATGGTCTGAAAATATTAAATGGAAAATTTCAAAAATAAACAATTCTTAAGTTTTAAATTGCCTACCATTCTGATAAGTATAATGAAATCTCACCCCATCTCGCTCTTTCTTGCTCAGGACGTGAATCATCCCCTTTGTCCAGCACGTCTACGATCTGTGTGCTCCCTCCATTGTTAGGCACTTAGTAGCCCTCTTGGTTATCAGATCCACTGTCATGGTATCACAGTGCTTATGTTCAAGGAACCCTTACTTTACTTACAAATGTCTCATTCTCATAACTTTTATTACAGTATGTTGTCAAAATTGTTGTGTTATTGTTAATTTCTTATTGTGTCTAGTCTATAAATGAAATTTTATCATAGGTATGTATGTATAGGAAAAAGCATAGCATATGTGCGGTTCAATACTTATCCTTGGTTTCCGACATCCACCGCAGGTCTTGGGACATGTCCCCGAGGGTATGGGGAGGACTGTGGTATCTACTTACCATGTTTCTTCCCAGTATGCCCAGACTTTCCTGTCCTTTTCTCTTTCATAAAAGTGCCTTAAAGTTTTTTTTAATAGGCAAAATACAGGTGGTTCAAAAGGTAAAAAAAGGATATTCATTGGAAGTTTTTTCTTTTACTGTGTTCCCCAGCCATTCATTTTCTTTAAGTTACTAGATTGTGTGTCCTTTCAGTGATACTCTGTGTGTATATACAAGCGTGTGTGTGTGTATAATTTTAACATAAATAGTAACATATCTTTTTTCCTACCTTGAGATGATTCATATTAGTATAAAAATAGCTTTTTCAGTCCATTTTCGGACTGTGTAATTTTCTACTTTATGGTTGTATCATAATCTGTCGAGTCCCCTATTAAAGGGGACTCTTGTTTCTTAATCTTTTGTTGTTCCAAACAGTGCCGCAGTTGACAGTTTCATGCATACGTATGCAAGTACCTAAAAAAAAGTGCCCCCATGTTCCTGTATGTTGTGCTTCAACAGTGCCCCTCTTTCTCAGCGCCCTCATTCAGAAGGGATTTGAATTGCTGATTCAAAAGATACTGGCTTTTGTAGTTTTGATAGTCTTTTCTGCTACCCTTTGCTTTCTTTGACATGTTTTGTCTTGTCACCTCCATATCTTTGTCATGTGCCTGCCTTGTGGTCCCATCTCTTTTTTTAGGATCCAGCTTAACACTAACACTCTCCAGGAAAGTCTCTTGATAATTCAGATCAGGTCTGGTATTTATTTCCTTGTTTCTCATATCACTTAGGTGCTATTTCTACTTTTACATATAACTCAATATAATATGTTTGCCTTGACTTCCCAAAACAGGGTTTCTTTAGTTTTTTAAAAAAATCATTTCTTGTAATTAAGATTTAAAGCTGATGGGTGAATTACTGAAACATTATTCTTATGTTTGCTAACTATTCTGTTTGGCTTTGTAGAAAACAAAAGATCTTTGTACATAATAAATAGGCCTTTGCATGTGATATTTTAATTTAACAGTAATCTTTATGGGGTTATATAAAGAACTTTAACAATACTACGCAGGATATTTTATATTTAAACAATATTAGTTCTAACTAGGAATTTTGCTACTGTATTTTTTCTATGTATTTGTAAAGAAAAAAAATCATTTTCGAAATCCTCATTTTTCTGGTGTTTTTGTCTTGAAGACACCCAGCAATGATTGGTGCCACATACTAGATAGAAATAGCTAAGGAGAACTCATTCTGGTTTTGTAGATAATTTGTACAAAACAGTAATTTAGAATTTTTTTATGAATGTTAAAGATACTTTAAATGTGAACAGAACATAAAATTCTACTGTGTATTAGGTATTTTAGAAAAAAATTTGTTCTAGAATGACAAAAATTTAATCCGGTAGAGCAGCAAATTTCAACTAGTGTGCTGCCAGAATTTTTAAAACACGCAATACCTGGCTATTTAGTCAGGCGCACTGACCTCTTTTCCCTTAGACTGTCAAAGTAAAAAAAATGACAACCACCAACACAATAGCCATCTGGCGTGAATGAATGAAACTTATACCAAATTTTTTTTGTGTCAGATTGGCAAAAAATATATTTTTGTTCTGTTGCAGAATTTTAGTAGTTTAGGTGTGCCATGAGATGAAAGAGGTTGAAAATCGCTGCTATGGAGGCATGTCTTATTCCCTGTTGGTCTCTGCCATTTTACACATTTGCCATTTTATGTGCTAGATGCAGAGAGTGGTCAGATGCGTGTCACAGCTGTGCGGGCTGGGGCATCACACAAGTACCTTTGTGTGGCAGTATTCTGTGGTGTCTGGTTGTCTGGAATGTCTGCTTTTCACACTCACACCAGCTACCATTTTCTTTGATCATTCTTTATTGGCGCATTTCGTTCTTTTTAAGATTTGGGTAAATGTGACTTGCCTCATTGTGCCAGAAATTGTTGTGAAGAGACGGTTGCTCCCATGTTCCTGTATGTTATGCTTCAACAGTGCCCCTCTTTCTCAGTGCCCTCATTCAGAAGGGATTCATAATCTCCTAGGCTTTCACCATTTGCAGTGTGCTCTCCAACAATTACTTCTCACAGCATCGTTATGACACAGATTTCCTGGAGGAGGTAATCTTTAAGGCCACAAATAAGTGAAAATAAGGAAGTGTTAAAATTGGAGCCACTGTTATTTGCCTGTGTCTTCCTTTCTCTCAGTTGTGCCCTGTTACAGAGATGCCAGTGGGTTTTCATAAATCCATTTCCTCACTAACTCACAAATGCCTGCTTGGGTGACATCAGTGAAATAAGCTGTATATAGAACATAAATACTGTACCCAAATGTGAGGAGTGTTTCCTTAAACATGATTACCAAACAAGAGAAACCTAAGTTGACTACAGAGGAAACTCTGAAGCCCAGATTGTGCAATATAATCGACAATTAAAAAGATAACTGAAGTCTGTTGAATTTAATGTACTAAGTAGTATTTATTAAGACTTTCAAATAAGTCAATGAAGGGTTTTATTTAAATGTTTAAAAACAGAATTGTAAATGTCTCTTCAGTCAGAACCACACAATTCCCATAGTCTTAGAAGAGGCTGTTTTCTGGTACAGAACACAGACTAAAACAGAAACCCATAACTTACCCTTATAAAACAGCTGAGTGTTCTGTGACCTCCCATAGACCAAATATGTGTTTCTAATGGTAAAAGAAACATTTGAAAATAATGTATCTTGATATAAGAAAAGAGAATCGTGGTATGGTTGGAACATTCATTAGGAAGATTATTTTTAAAAAAGGAATGGATATGTATTTGAGGAAAATGCAAGTCGGCATAAATATAAGGTACTAACTTTTTTTATGATCCATTTTAGAAACATGATTAGGTATCAGATTACTTTGGTGAATTAAGTATGTGAATAAATGAATTCTTATCTTAAATAAAAATTTCAAATAGGACCTAAAATAGTAATATTACCTTTAAGTCATGAAAAGAAAAGGATGTTGTGTTGAAAAAGTTTAAATCACCTCCCTACATACTTAAGGAATTACCAGCTTTGAACTGTGAATGTTAATATTTTTATTCAAATACTCAAACACATTGATATTTAGTAGCTAAATAGTTCAGAAAAAGCAGTAGTGCAATGCTAAAGTGATTTCTGATTTAAGTTCCATTGATTAGGCAGATTGTTTTCATAATTTATAATTTCCAGGAGAAATTCCACAAAAAGAGGGGAAACATGTATTGGGGAAACCTCTGGTTGAAAGAAATTTTGCTTATAGAAGCATTGCCTGGAGAGTGGTAGAAGTTTTGACTCAAGGCTAATCCAGAAGAACTTGAGATTTAGAGGATAGACTAAAGAGAACCTTCCATGCTGGCAAAATGTAGGCAAAAGTCTTTCCTATCTACAGTTTTATGAAAGTACCTTATATTTCATTGCTTGACTTATTTTATATACAGAGATCTCCATGACTTTCCAACTGTATCAGCTTTATTTTCTGTCAGCCTCCATTTCAGTTTACTTGTCATTGATCTGTATAAGAATTCCATATAATTTCCTATCGAATATAGTGTAAGAAGTAACCTATGTTGATATATATTCAAATTTTAGGATGGAGAATAATTATGTATAGTCAATACATTTTTAAAGTATTTATTTTAAAAATATCTTTTTAATCGAGATTAAGAGGCAAGTGTAGAATGGTAGATATCTTTAACGTTTTAGGTATTTTTCTTTTCCTTTCAGCCACTGTTTAAAAATTAGTATCTTTCAATTTAAAAAATTAGGTTTAAATTCCATATTTCCTATAGTAGTGGTTTAGGCCTCGTGTTATGCTGAGGTTAAGATGTGAAATTTCAACATTTGCGTGTCTTCTGGAGCGGCCAGTGGGATAGTGGGAAGAATCAGGGTCCATCCAGGAGAGAGATGTGGGTTATAGTCCCATCTCTGTAGGACCTTAGGCAAATCCCTCCCCTGACCGCCCTTTATTTGCCCCTCATTGTTCCTCATCCCTTAAGTGGGGTCAATTGAGATAACAAGTCCAGTTAGCTCTAATACTTCATGTTTTCAAACTTGTTTTTAAGTAGTAGAATTTTTCTTTTGTTGAGAAATTTTGTGTGTAAAACATGGAGTGAGTGGGAATAAAGAGTCCAGGAGCCTCACTGCGCCCTGAGCACAGGGCAACAGCCCTGCCCAGTGCTCTTCCTTCCTGCATGTTTGGCTAGGCAGGTGGAGCCTCCCCGGTGACAGGCTGTTTCTGTTTGTTTCAGGGGCTATCAGCAGCAGGATGCCCATGAATTCATGCGCTACCTTTTGGACCACCTGCATTTGGAGCTCCAGGGCGGTTTCAACGGTGTTTCCCGCTCATCAATTCTGCAGGAGAATTCCACTCTGTCTGCAAGTAACAAATGCTGCATGTAAGACTTAGTTTCCTTTGATGTTTTAGGAGAGCCTCAGACATTTCTGTTGGTGTTATTGTTAGATTTATAATGGAAGGTGGAGAGTTTTCCTTAACTTTTGCTGAAAATTTTGTGCGCTTGAACTTTGTGACCATGTGGACTGGCACATGTCTACCACTTTCAGACCAGAGGTATCTTATATTTGCGTCTTGGCGTAGTTCTGATTGTATTTGGTATAGATCATTCTAAACCTTGGGAAAACAGTAGAAAATATTTGTACAATTTAGCACTAAAAAGTTTTCCTCCAAATGCACTGAATGGATTGAAGACTTAATTTTCATATACTAAAATAATTATATTTGTTCACTAAAAACAAAGGCTTAAAACATTTTGAATGTGAATTTTCCTAAATCCTCATTTTGGACTTGAATTTTCCTAAAGTACGAGGTCTGTACAGAAAAAGTCCAGCCATTGTTAATATAACAAGAACCATTTGTGCGACATTGATATAACCTGACAGCCCAGGAGAGTGGACTGGAATGCACATGTGTGAACAATGATGACTTCACTGTACTAATCAGCGGGGGCATTGAGTGAGCATGTGTACTGTGTGGCCATCACATTCAAAATGACTGAGAGAGTAGAGCTACAAATCTGCATCAAATTTTGCGTTGAGCCTGAACATCCCTCCACGGAAACTATTTCGACGATTCAGAAGGCTGCAGGTATGGGCAGCTGGTGACTGGCAGCTCATCATGACAGTGTGCCCATTCATGCACCAGGTCTAGTGCAGTTTTTTGGCAAAACATCAAATCACCCAGGTGACTTAGCCACCCCCCACAGCCTAGATTTGGAGCCCTGCAACTTTGGCTTTCCCAAAACTAAAATCACCTTTGAAAGGGAGGAGATTTCAGACTTTTGATGAGATTCATGAAAATACAATGGGCAGCTGATGGCAATTGGGAGAATTCTGTGAGGTCCCAACGTGCCTACTTTTAAGGGGACCAAGGCGTCATTGTCCTATGTACAATGTTTCTTGTATCTTCTTCAATAAATGGCTCTATTTTTCATATTACATGACTCGATACTTCTGGACAGACCTGACATATCTGTCTTTTATTGAAATTGAGGAATTTGTAAGTTCTTGGAATTTTTTTCTTACCTTTTGATATGAACAAAACAAACCTTTTGGATTGCTTTTCCAAGTACTAATACCCCAAAATATACATTGCTATTAGAACGCTTATTTTGCCTGAGGCATAGATGCTTTATGATATTTCAGCCTGGGTATTGATTAGTTATAGTCTCCCTTTTGTTCATATTTTTGAAAAGTTTTGTGCTGACCTATGCAGGAAAGGGATTTATAAGACAAACTTCCCCAAAGGAACAGAGAGTAGGTAATATGTAGAGGTTGCTATAGTATTGCCTGGCAGTCCACAAATCTGATTTAGTAGGAGAAGGTCTTTTTAATGACCACAAACAGTCTCATAGCAAATCTGGCTGTATCAGAGAAGGGTAAGCAATATGAATTGCCATACTTCTCAATACATGTGCCTTTCCAGGTCCTTGTAGCTATGCTTCTATTTAGAATCTTATACAAAAAGGGAGAGACCTTTGGTAGCATTGTTCTTGCTGTTAGCACCAAATTAAACATAGTATTAAGTGAAAAATTCTGTTTTGCATTTTGCCTTGATTTGTATCCCTTTCTCAGAGGCAGAAATTACAAAGGAAGAACTACATTGAGTTTAAATGTTCTGCTTTGTAATAAAATAGTTTCTATTTAAATAAGAGGCAGTATTGGCCCTGGCTGGGTGGCTCACTCAGTTGGAGCATCGTCCCGTACACCAAACGGCTGGGGGTTTGATTCCTGGTCAGGGCACATACCTAGGTTGTGGGTTCCACGCCCAGTCAGGGCATGTGTGGGAGGCAGCCCAATTGTCGTTTCTCTCTCACATCAATGTTTCTCTTCCCCTCCCCCCATTCAGTAAACTTACATTTTTTTAAAAGGCAGCATTATTTGTGAACATCAGTATGAAACGATCAGTGATAGTCCCTTTATTTTCAGTAGGTGATTTTTTGGGTATGCCCTTTGTTTATGACATAGATATTAAACCTAAAATCTGAGATGGCCATTGTGTTCTACAGTTCCCAGTATAACTTCCTTTTAAGTCCTAAACAGGAGCCATATATCTTATGAACAACTAAATAAATAAGTAAATAAATAAAGCTGCAATGTATTTCTTTTGCCAGTAAAGGAAGAAAGGCAAAGGAAGCAAACTTTTAAAATAATGGAATTGCTCAGGTAGTTTTTGTCTGTCTGATTACCATAGTTAATTCAGAGCAGTTCAGAAAGTGGGTTCATTGTATTAGGAATATTGTTGATTGTAAGTGTCAGAAAGCGCCTCAGATTGCTATTAGCATAGAAGAATTTACTAGCTCAAGTTAACTACATAAGTGCACAAAGAATGATATGTGTTTGTTGTAGTACTATTAATGATAGCAAAATATTGAAACAGACTCAGTATTTGTTATAGGGTTAAATTAAGAGCAGGAACATAGTGTTAAGGGCAGCTGATTAGGCCATAGGCCAGACCAGCTGTGTGACCTTGGGCCAAGATACTTAACCTTTTGTACCTCAGCTTCCTGGTCTGTGAAATGGGGATAACGGTGTTCTACCTCAGAGTTGTTGTGTGGGTTAACTGAGTTAGTAAATGGAAAGTACTTAGAATGGCACTTGGCATGTGCTGTGTATAATAGTGTGCTTGCCAAGCACGCTCTCACTGCTGCACTTTCTCAGTTGTTCTTGTGTCCACTCTGTGTCCACACTGGGACATGCCGTGCAGCTGTCAAAAAGAGTGAGGTACATGTTCAAAATATGTATTTAAGGGAATAAACGCAAAAGGCCAGGCATCATCATAATTATTATGGTAATAAAAAGCCCTTAACATACTTTAAAGGGCTTTTTTTTGGTAAGCACTTGTCTAAAAGCGCTGTATATGTTTACGTAACTCATTTCATCTTCACACCAGGATTCTGAGATAGACAGACGTTATTCCTGTTTTACATTTGATGATGCTGAGGCAGTGAGAGGTTCACCAATATTAGAACAATTGTTTTTTTTTATTAAAGTGGCTTATCCTTGATCTCCACAAAGGGATTATTTATAATATCCTTTTAAGTTAGTTTTTTAAAAGGCTCGTTGACAGTAATATTCATTCAGCACTTCAATTGTAAAGTCATACCTCCACCAGTAATTACTAAATAAGTATTAAATTTCTTACTTTCCCCCCCCCCAAGCCTGACCATTGACCACCTGAAAAATGGAAATCTATCTCTGAGGTGGTTGTTTAAAGTAAAGTAATTGAGAGCCCCATGTAAGATGAGAGGCCTTGCAGGGATTCCAGTATAAGGCAGTTCCGTCTTCTTTTAGGGGTATATTTGTGGGGAGAGGGTTCTCTGCCCCGAGTGCAGGCAGTCATGAAGACCGATGGTTAGGAGTGGCGAATGTCCAGCGTGGGTTACTTTTGGGGAAAGTAGTGGGTTGGAAGGGAGCTTGGGGGGGAGTCTAGTCAATGGCTTAAACCTTTTATTTAGTATACATCTATATAGTTTTGAAGTGTTTGCATTATTTTGTAATTTAAATAAATATAAATGATATACATTCCCCCAGAGGGAGTCACCTGTAGGAGCTTTTACACATTCACTTTAGTTTTTTACTGATATGTTTTCCTATGTGACTTTCTTTAGAAATGGAGCATCTACTGTTGTCACAGCTATATTCGGAGGCATTCTCCAAAATGAAGTTAACTGCCTCATATGTGGGACAGAATCTAGAAAGTTTGATCCATTCCTAGGTAAGACATATTTGGTATATGGAAATGTGATCTTGTAGTACATATTTGATATGTGGAAATATGATCTTGTAACATTTCCTTTTAAAATTAAGACTGATTGTAAAACATTAAAAATACATCAGTTTTTGCGATTACTTTTTGAGTGTGGTTGTATAACTTTAACTACTGTTTTCCTATTTCCTTTTAAGATCTTTCATTAGATATTCCAAGTCAGTTCAGAAATAAACGCTCTAAGAATCAAGAAAATGGACCAGTTTGTTCATTAAGAGGTAAATACTAAATTAATGGTCTAGAATTCTTTTTTCCCTCTGAATACATGAATATATTTATAAGCTCCATCTGTTTGTAATGTGTTGTTAATCACTTTAATGAATTTGTGTTATAACTTAAGTCAAACCTGGATGTTTCTTCCTGTCCAAAAATATTCTATTTAATAAGAATGCCTGCTAGATACACTAGGTCAAGCACAAAATAGGTCAAACATAATATATTCTCCACCTTTCTCTCTTTTTTTTAATAAGGTTTTATTTATTTTTAGAGAGAAGGGAAAGGAGGGAGAAAGAGAGAGAGAGAAACAGTGATCAGTTGCCTCTCGCACCTTTTTCCTTGATGAATATTAACCACTTTAGTCAAGGCAAAAGACCAACCACTAATGACTAATTGTCCTTATTAGTCATAAAAAGGAGAAACTTGGATAGAAAAAAGAGGACCTAGAGTGTGTTCTATCATTAAGTAACTGAACACCAAAGGCAAATAACAATTTCTGCCCTAAATTGTATGTTCACTAAAAGTAATTCTTTTCTCTTGTGCAGCTGTTTTAGGGAGTACTGTCATAGTTATAGATCGATAGGTAAGTAGGTGGGTAGACAGATATCTTTCCTTTAAAAAAAAGAATCTATTAGAGTTGAAAACTGCACAGTCGTATGGGACTATTACAATTTAGTTAAAATAAAATTTAAAATTTTCAGTTGTTCACCTGCACTAGCCATATTTCAAGTGTTCACTAACCACATGGCTAGTGGCTGCTGTACTGGACAGCACAGATGCAGAACATTTCCATTATTGCAGAAAATTCTACTGGACAGTGCTGCTCTAGAATCAAATTATTCCAATAAAAATACTACTGCTGAGGGCGGGGCAGTCTTCTCTGTATCACAGGTGCATTGTGTGGCATTTGGCGTGTTAAGAGTAGCAGCAGAGATCTTGCTTGTGGAACTGTTGCACAGGCAGTTTCTGGAAATCTCTCAGGAGGTGACTGTCAAAGACACTAGACAACTCTAAGAAACAAGAGCAAAGCAACTGTGCATATTATAGATGCTTTCAGTTTGTTCCCAACTATGCAAGTATTGATTGTCTCTTTTGAAGAGGAGTACAGAAGAAATTTAAGGAAGCCTTATCCACTCCACTTTTCCCTAAAATAGATGCATACAGGGTGTTTCTCCAGAACTGCTTTTGGCCTATTTGAGATAAAGAGAATATCACAATATACTTCATATCAAATGTCAGGTCATTTTCTCTTTATATTTACAGCATGTGAATACAGGCAAACTTAATCATAAAACAAACATCATTTGACCAGCTGGGGGAAATCAATGAGAATTCAATTATTAAATGAATTAGCCTTAAACTATATATTCTAAATCTAAATCGGATTGACTTCATTTTGAAATTTCTTCAGTAACAACAGTAGTAAGATTGACATTAGTTTAAAAGAAAAACAAAAGAACTTTTCCTGCTATAAACATGTGGATACTTATTTGAAAAATATTTTCTAACATTTAACAAACCCCAGTGAGTCCACTTGATCTTTGGTCGGAAGCCCCGGAGACACTGGTTGGTTTGGGCTTCTTCCCTTTCTTCTTTGCCGTGTCCCCGCATCCTGAATTGCTTACATATGAGGTCCTTGCTGCCCTCTGTGGCATTTTGCTTATTACTGGTCCCAAAATACTTCAGTACCAACCTTCCTTTCTTGAGACCATCCAGAGGAGAGTGTATGGCATAGCTTAGGTGGCTGATGGGTACTACAAACAAGAAAAATGGCAAATGGAGATGATAAACTCGAAACAAATATTTGTAATACATATATGAAAAAGAGTACTTGGACAAAATATATGGACAAGGAAAAATGCAAATGGTCAATTTAACACCTGAAAAAAGGTCTCACTTATATTCAGGAAAGTGTAAATCAAAATTTGTTGATGGTAAAGATAGATCATATCTGTTTTTAGTGAAAGTTTTGGTAAGTGAGCATTCTCATATTGGTGTTAGGAGTAGAAATTGATAGTTTATTTTGGAGGGTAGTGATCACCATTTTTAAAATTTTTATTTATTTTTTATCCTTTCTTTTTTAAAATTTTTATTTATTTATTTTTTATTCAAAATCAATGGCCTGAGGACATGGCCACTGATTTTAGAGAATAGAAGGGAGGGAGAAAGAGGGAGAGAAACATTGATCCATTGCCTCTTGAACAAGCCCCAACTGGCGACCAAACCTGCAACCAAGGCATGTGCCCTGACCTGGAACTGAACCCGCGACCTTTCGGTTTACAGGACGTTGCTCCAGTTAACTGAACCATACCAGCCAGGGCGATCATCATTTTTAAATGGCATTTTCTTAGACATAGTAATTTCACTTGCAAATGTGAACAGTAACATATGTAAAAGATATTCATTGAAGCATTCTTTGTTACTGCAAAAAATGAGAAATAATTTATATGCCCAACAGTAGGGCATTGGTTCAATAAATTATACTATGTAGCAATTAAGAAAGCTAAACTTGTTGAATAACTAGGCCACAGAAAGATTAATACAAAATATTGTAGAGTAAAACTCTATCCATGGAAATATATATAAAGAATTAATCCATTTGTGAATAATTACAGAAATTCATATGTGTATTAAATGCTTGAGTGGCATACACTGTTCACAGTGATTATCTTAGGGGAATGGGATTCAGGAAGAAGTGGAACTGTGGCTTATTTTTTCTTGGTCTTTTTATTGTTTGAATTTTTAACCTATTGTGTCACCTTTATAATTAGGTATTTATTTTGGGGGAGTAAAAATGTGGATTAACTTATACATACTTGCCAATTACTGCTTTGCTAAATTAAATTTATATAATACATAAGGGTGATCTAATAACTTCAACAATCAGTTTTGCTCCCTGCTCTCAACAGGAATGCTATTTAACAGTTAATGTAATGTAGAAGACCAACACTTGTGAAATACATGCCCTGAAACCTTTGAGAATCTTAGGAATTTCAAAAACTACAATGGCATTTTTTTTTTCCTTCATGAAATACAAATGAAAGATTTAAGCAGCTTCTTGAGATGCTTAATGAGAGATGTGAAGGTCAGGATAGAACAACAAAGTTTTGCTGAGATGCAAGAGCTGGTACCTGCTAGAGATTATTCACTGGCCATGTGATTCCTTCACTTCCATGTATGAGCTTGGAGGTGAAATTCATATTTGTGGGGCTGCAAAATATTAAACTATAGTACATCCCAGGGTCAGACTTTTCAAATATTTAAAACGGCAATTGTCAAATCCATGAATGTCAAGGATATCTTGTATCTAGGCAATCTTCCTCTTAAATATGTGTGCAGATGTGCTTCCATAATGGTTTTCTTTATTGCAAAGAAGATTTGGGGAAAATTTAAAAAAGAGTGCAAAGAGGAAAGTAAGTATCTTTTCCTTATAAGCCCACTGTCCAGAAATACCATGGTTAATGATCTTTTTCTTTAAAAACTGATTTAAAAACTGTTTTATAAAAGGACAGCTGTTGGAACTTTTAAGGAAAAAAACTTTTTTTTGCAATTTGCTCCCTTATTTCAGTTTTAATAGTTAAGTTTTATTTGCACTCTTTTTTTTCATTTTCCCCCCACTTTTTAGTTGAATTTATTGGGGTTAATAAATAAACCCCACCTAATAAATTTAGGTGAATTTATTTGAGTTAATAAAACTGGCTAATAAAATTATCTAGATCTCAGGGGCACCATTCTATAGTACATCATCACTTCCTTATTTTAAAATAGATCATGTGAGGCTTATTTTAAAAAAAAATTTATATTGTTCACTTACAGCTGTTCCTGTTTTCCCCCATCACACTCCCCTGCCCTACCCATTCGCCACCTTCCACTTTATTTCTTTTAAACTCATAGAAACCATTACAAATGTGCATTAGGTTTTCAAGAGAGCTTAAGCAGCTTTTAAAAATCCCAGGAGGAGGTGACTGGTAGTTCGCGATTAGTTCACGTAGGGTGTGTGATGTTCCTTTATTAAAACTCCCTAGAGGCTGCCCATGGGCACACCAGTCTTCTGATCTGATGCAGCTGTGATAGTGATGCTGCTTCATTGTCTGGGGTACAGTAACAGTTATGGGGCTCCTGAGCCTGTTGCAGCCTCAGAGAGAGGTGGGAAAACAAAAAGAGGGCTCCTAGAGGCAGCTGGGCCACCATTTTTTAAATTGAGTGTTCAAAAAACGAGGCTCAGCTTGTATTGCTTGTTTGTGAACCATCTAATGGGCCTTTCATTCCATTTTGGTTTATCACATGGCCTCACATGAAAAGGAGACTTGTCTTTTGTGTAAATCGGCTGTGGGACCATTTGTGGTCACCCTGTAAGTTTTAGCCTCTCAAAAAAGTAGGAGGAAGGAAAATACAAAGGAAGAAAATGTTGGGAAGCAAGAATTGCTAGGGGAAGGCGAAACCTCCTCTGTGCTGGGAAGAAGCTGAAAACTAGGAGGTTGCTGGAGAGAGGAAACTTCATTTGCAGAAAAGGAGCTGGGTGATCCAGGGCCAGGTGTTTCCACCATTTAGCTATTGTGAATAATGCTGTTATGAATACAAACGTTCAAGTTCCTCTTTGAGTCTCTGCTTTCAGTTCTTTTGGGTACAGACCTAGGAGTGGAATTGCTGGGTCATAGGGTAATTCTAAGTTTGACCTTTTGAGGAACCGTCACTCTGTTCCACAGTGGCTGCACCATTTTTCATTCTCACCAACAACGCATGAGGGTTCTAATTTCTCCATGGTCTGGATAACATGTTATTTTCAATTTTTTGTGTTTTGAAAATAATAGCCATCATAATGAGTGTAAAGTGTTATCTCATTATGGTTTTAATTTGCATTTCCTACTGCTTAACGAAGTTGAGTATCTTCTTGTGCCTATTGGCAATTTGTGTATCTTCTCTAAGAGTTTTATGTCTTATGTTTAGGTCTTTGATCCATTTTGAGTTAATTTTTATACTCAAGTACTTTGCCTATTTTTTA